CAGAGCTGCTTCAATATATGAAATATTGTTTCCATGAAAATGCATTGTAGTGTCATCAGCAAACATATCAATATTACAATGTTCAACAGATAATGGTAAATCATTAATATATAACAGGAATAACAAAGGACCTAAAATAGATCCCTGTGGCACACCTGCTGTGACAGGCAGTGATTCAGATGTGTACGCACCAATTTTTACACTCTGCATTCGATCATTTAAATATGATTCAAACCATTGAATCGAAATAGGATCAAAGTTGTAGCATTTAAGCTTAGTAATAAGTATATCATGATTTACGAGATCATATGCTTTGCTAAAATCCAAATAAGTAATGCCAACGAAATTTCCTTGATCTATTGCATGCAGCCAATTATCAGTTAGTTTTGTGAGAGCTGTCTGGCAAGAGTGAAATTCTCTAAATCCAGATTGTGCTTTCATTAATAAATCATAGTGAGAAGTAAAGATTCGTATATTTTCTGCTACATGCTTCTCTAAGACTTTCGAAATAGTTGGTAAGATTGAGATTGGTCGATAATTTCCTGGGTCTGATTTATCACCCTTTTTAAATAGAGGAGTTATTTTTGCTATTTTTAACTGTGTAGGAAAGGACCCCTTGATTATGCTGGAATTTATTAAGTGTGTTAGACAATGTTAGAGGTTTGGATATCACACTAGCTGAAATTTTAAGTAATCTGGGTCCAAGAAAGTCTATGCCAGCAGATATGTTCATGTCAAGCCTATTTAACATATCAAATACTTTTGTTTCATTAATCAATGGAATTTCAAAAAAGTCTTGATCTCCAAGTTTTGTTTCCGTGTATCTTTTCAATTTTTCTGAATCAAAACTAGTCAATGAAAGATTATTTAACAATTTTCTTGGAATATGTGCAAAATGCTCATTAAAAGCATCTGCAATGTCTTTTAAATTATCCAATTCTAATCCATTATAAGTTATATTGGAAGGGGATGAATTTTTATCTGATTTTGGGGAAAGCTGATTTAAATGACCCCACATTTCTTTTGATGTAGAACTATTCTCAATTACTGTCTTATAATATGTAGATTTTGCATCATTAATTAGAGAGGTTACTTTGTTTCTCCAAAATTTAAAATTGCCCATGTCTCCCTGTTTATGGAATTGATCTCGTTTAATCCTAGCCTCATTTATTTCTGGAGTTAACCATTTAGTGCGAATTTCTGATTTCACACGCTTTGTTTTAATTTTCGCATGCTTATTAAGTACAGAATTGAAAATTGCATAAAAATAGGTTAAAATGTCATCAGGATCATGCAGGAGAATTAATTCATCAAAATTTGCATTATTTAAATCATGCAAAAAATCATGTTCATTAAAGGTTTTAAAGTCACGGTATTGTATTTCAGTATGTCTGCCTTTGCGTTGCATGCTGTTAGATCTTCGGGTGGCACATATTGGATAATGGTCAGACATTGATACAGGGGGTACTGATAGTTCACATATGTTAGCAGGGTGCGTAGTGTAGAAATGGTCAATGAGAGTTTTAGAGCTATTGGTAATTCGTGTTGGGGTGTTAATTAATTGTGTTAATCCCAAATCTACAATTGCAGATGACCAACTCTGCGGGGTGTCTTTGAGCATATCTATATTGAAATCACCTGCAATAATCACTTCCTGATCGTCACAGCAGGTAGCGCACTGAACTTCTCTAACAAATTCGTCTACCCAGCAGGAGGGGGCAGATGGTGGACGGTAAACTGAACAATAAAGTATAGGTTTAGAATTCTTAAGATTAATTTCAAGCTACATTGTTTCTAAATTACTAATTTCTAAATCAGTTCGCCGTTTATATTTCAAATCATTTGAAATATATGTAACTAGTCCACCACCCGCCTTTCCTATTCTATCTTTTCTTTCAAAAGTATATCCATGTACATTTATAATACAATCACTAATATTTTCGTCAAGAAAAGTTTCACATAGAGAAAAAATGTCAACATTTTGTTGATCCTGTAAATATAAAATTAATTCATCTAACTTCGGTAAAATGTGACAAACATTTAAATTTACAAAATGTAGACCTTTTTTTAAAAGGCCAACTTTTGAATCACACACATTTTGTTTGTTATGATTTTTTGGGGTGTCTGTTGTTGGAGAGGAATTGTAAAGTTTTCTTTGATTTTGGTTCAAAAGGATTTTCTGTTTAGATTTACATAGATCTGAATTTACAGATTTTAAGCTATAATTACTTGAGTTATCATTGAAGAAAAGACAGGTGCAAATTGATAAGGCTTATCTAGTTAAAAAAAAATATTCCTATTTGTAGGAAAAACACACTGATGACTTCAGGCAAAGGAGAAACATATCCCTTCGCCAAGCGCTTTCGGTACCTTGAAGTGAAAATTAACGTTGCGGATAACTGAGAAGAAACAAAAAAGACCCCAAGACTCCTTGTCAAGATAGATGCTGGCACGACAAAGATCCCTCAATAATTCTAATAAAAATGTCACCGGTCTAGTTGTAGCACCACAGTAACTCAATATGTTCGCAAATTTTAACATATGGAAAAAAAGATTTTAAATCTCAATGTTACATGTATTCATATACATTGTTTATTCTTAATTCAAAAGCAATGCTGGATTTCGGAGCATCAAAATTTCATGGGAAGGTTTTTGTACGGTTTATTGTTAAATGGCAGGAGTTTTGTTACCCAAGATTAGAAGAAAGCTGCAAAAACATCAGTTCATACAGAACGTGCGTTATTTAATAAAATGGAGAGCAAGAAAATATACCGAAAATTCAGACGTACCATTTAAATAAAAGTATCCTTAAAGAATGACTAAGAGATCATATGGGAAAATAAATCATGCTTGAACAAGCCATAAAGAATAGGCATTGCGGATAATCACGTTTCCAATATTATCTTCTTCCTGAAGAAAAAAAACAACTTTTCAATTTGTTAAACATTAGAGATTCTGACGTAATTGCTGAAGTATTTACATCTTTAAAATCTGAAAGTAACATAAACATGATAGCATTTTTGGGGGCCCTTTTAAATCCAGTGAATAGGCAGTGTAATGAACTTTTTGTTTTAAAACTTATTTTATTAAATGGGGACTATGTTTTATAATATTATGCAATAATTGACTGAGTTCGAAGGGGACATGTGTTTCGTCGGACGCAAGAACCAAGCTAAAGGCCTCAGACAGACAGTTTGAATCGAGGAACCGACAAACAACATATTGCCCAAAACAGTTAATAAATCATGTTTGTTAATCTTTTCATTCTATTTTTTTTACATACGTGTATTTTGAACTGTCTTCTGTAAAGTAACCTCAGGTCATTCACTGTTGAAAAAAAAATGAGAAAGCTCTCCCCATTCTGTGACGTAACATGTCCGAATTGACCAGTCCAAAATCACACTAAGCGGTCGAACATCGATTTTTTATGCCCATTTAAAAATAATTGGAAATGATAGACTGTATAGATTTGTATTTGAACATTTTGTTAAAGGTTATAGGTATTACACTATATACGATATAAGATTATATTACAGTACCGACCAGACCCAACCTGACACCAAAGCAGTCCAAGAAAGCAGTCCCCGGGACTGCTTTTGGACCGCTATGGGACAGCTCTGGGAATGCTCTGGGACAGCTGGGACCCAGCAGTTCCAGCTGTCCCTGTGACTGCTTTCTATGACTGCTTTGCTCCCTCATGTGTGATTGATTGATTGTATACTGTTTAACGTCCCTCTCCAGAATATTTCACTGATATGGAGACGTCACCATTGCTGGTTAAGGGCTGCAAATTTTGGCCTAATTTAAACTGAAATGTTAGTAAAAATAATCCTGACTGAAAAATATAACTTGGCATTGGCAAAATTAACAATTTTTCAAAAGCTCCAAAACTAAAGAAAATAGCTTAAGAGTATTCCCATAGTCCATAGTATGGAAATTGGTCATATGCATGATTTATAAAGAAGATTTATTTAAAAGTAATTCTCCTGGAATAAAATATATTCAATTTCAATTATCTGCATAAAAAATAAATATGGGGACCTGTATCAATAAAAATAAACTCCAGATAATTGTGATTAAACATTCATGTTCACTGTAATTTATTTATGTTGGGGTGAGAGCTTTCTTTTTTCAATAAATATTATTTCAAATTGTTTCTATGTGCGTACTGCTCATACATGTGAATGACCTTCGCATAGTAAGGATTCCTGGCATACTGTTCAGAAAAAAAATCAGCCGCCTTTTATATTTCCATTGTTTATTAGAAATCTCATTTTTGAGTAAGCTCCGCCCATTGAATAAATAAATGCCGCCCAGTGGGAATGTTTTCTTGGACTGCTGGGACTGCCTTTTGGGACCGCTTTGGGACTGCTCTGGGACCGCTCTGGGACTGTTTTAGCAATCCCAGAAAGCAGTCCCTAGGACTGCCCTGGGACTGCTTTATTTGTGTCAGGTTGGGTCTGGTCGGTACTGTATATCATATTATTTTATATTATACTATGCACACATTGAACGGCAATGGGGCTGTGCCTAGGGAAATTGTTGATGTCGAGGGGGGCGATAAACATACGATTGTCCGAGCATATAATTTTATTATATTATTATACCTTTGTTACTACAACTATTTGAATATTCATAAATCTTTGATCAAGTTTAATTAAGGGATTCACTTGAACCTGAACTTTGTAGTTCATGCAAAGTATCGGGAAAATGAAAGTTGTCTAATGAACTGAGGAAGTAATAAATTTAGTAGACCTGATTGATTTCTTTTCAATCAGAAAACTTTAGCGGTTGAAAAATTCGACTTTAAAATTATTTAATCTAAACAATACATGTACCACTTATCCCTTATCCTATTTTCGTTGTAACTTGTAGAATTCACTCAACATACTTCTTTTTCATGTTAAAATATTGTTTGACGTAATTTGATAGAAAGACATGAAAGCACCATAATCTCTGATTTGAGTGTTATGCTGCATTCTCAATTTGTATTGAAAGCAGGAAGAATGGGATGTGATAGTTTTATTATATATTCAAAAGCGACAAAATAAAGACATGAACAATTTAGTAAGGGTTATTCTTTGTGCTCAAATTTGTTTGAGGTTAGCACAGAAAGGGCCTTGTAAGGAACAGTATGTGTACATTATATTATAATAATTGTTTATTTTTATTGATAAACGAATAATTTTTTATTAAATTGTTCTTTTTAATTCTTTGAAATATTTGCAACGGTAACGTTAAATGCTATTGCTCAATTCTTTATCATTACGATATTTCTACTTTCATTGAAAGTTATAATGGATGCTGTTCCGGGACTGTATGGAACAACTCACTGAACAAGTGCACAGGTACAGTACTTTTTTGTTAAAAACCTACATAACAAAACGTGGAATATGAATTAAGAAAATCAAATTACATATTCATTTGTTTTTATTTTGTTTTTATTTTGTTTTGTCATTCTGAGATTATTTCTTTCATTGAACCTCATAGATGGTATTTCCCAAAACCATGTCAGCCAGATATTTATTTTGTGTAGTTAAGAAAGCTCTAAACACCAGCAGAAACTGCTATTTTGACTATATATTATATAAAGGTGTGCATATTAACACTTGTTCATTCATCTATAATATAGGGTACCTGGCTTTTTCGCAGGAATATTTTTCAATGAAAATGGACTATTTGTAAACAAAAATCACAGCAATTTACTTACATTGAGGAAATTACTAAAAATAATGATTTCAATTCCTTATTATTGATCTTGTACATGTATGATGCTAAGAATACATGTATTTTAATCTATCACAAATTGTGTAATTAAGTGATTTTTTTTAATCATACTTCTAAGGACTGATCACTCTTACTGCATAAAAATACCTTATAAATGGAGCTCTTTAGTGTGCAGTGTTTAGATATTCCTTAATAAATTTATCACATGATATAAATCACTAAGGTAACAAAATTGTAATGTTAATGAATTGTTCAGAGTTTGCTAGGTGTATAAGCCCTTAACCAGGAAGATAATGCAAGAGACTTATCGTAAACAAAAAAAAATAATTCTAACGCGTCTTATCAAATGCTGCAGTAGTCAGATTCCGGAAAAATATAAATAACAAGAAAGAAGCACCTCAAACCTTTAACGATCTAGTTATAATGATTTTAAATGCATTGTTCTATTCACTCATTCAAATTTTAAAATGAAGACAATTGCTTTTGAAGAAAAGGAAACAAAAAATAATAATTTAAATACTTTGATCATGTGTATATGTACCTTCAAATCGAATATTCTGGAATTAACAAAGGTTGTCAAAAACATTCGCGGACAAACGTTTTATTTTCATAATAAAGTCCACGATGGCCAACAGAAATGATAATATATTGATATACGGTAGGCCATGATTTGGTAAATATACTCGTATAAAGAATTAAAGCAGTGTACTTTATTTTATTAACATACTTGAAGTCAAAACTTTGTATGACCAGTATAACGTAATACTCATTTCATGATTACTTCAAAAATAGGGATTTTGAATTTTTATCACATGTTCATTGACATATGTTTATTTTAACTGTAGTTGTCAGACGAAAAAACCTATTTTTGAATATTATCGTGGGTGTATAGACCAGTACCTTTGAGATTGAACATCATTTGAAAAGCTTTTACCTAAGACAAAACTTTTGAATATTTGGAGCTTGTTCTTTTGTTCTTTAAGTTTTACCTCTGACGTTGACTTTGAGATTTGAGGTTTAAAAAACGTTCTCCTTGGTCATATTTTTATTATCAATTTGTACTGGGGAATCCTTCTTCACATATTAACTTCTCCTTACAAGATCTTCCTATGGATACCAAAACTTTAAAACTTTGGCCTTGGAGTTTGACCTGTTTAAGAAATCTTTAACCTTGTTTATAACTTTTAAATAGTTGACTTTCTGTTTCACAAGTGTATTCTTTATAAGTTTCATTTGGGGTACCTTTGTTTTGTACCCCTTGATCTTGATCTTGTAGTTTTAGTTACTTTCATTTTGTTAAACATTACTTTTAAATTGTATGTGTCAGGGCCTGCATGTTTCACAAGTAGGTTCCTTGAAAGAAGAACTTTATTTGAATAATTCTTGACATAGAGCTTTACTTGCATTTGTGGGAAAGAATCCTTTGATATAAGAGTTAAACGGGGGCATCTTTTTCTTTTTACAAGCACGTCTATTTTATCATAAATAATCCTGCTATTTTTTTATTTTAAAAAACTTCAAAGATTCCTTCAATGCATGAAGTCAACCTTCTAACAGAAAATGAATAATTTGAATAAGTTTAATACTTTTTGTTTTGCTGCAATGGTGGAACAATATTGCGATTTTTTACCATTACTTTTTCGAAAAGGCCGTACGCTTAAGAATTAAAGTTCCCACACGTTTCTTTAGCTTGAAGAGTTTAGAACCGCCACCAAATTTGTAATTGGCAAATTTGTGATAGACTTACTCTTCATTCAAATCTAATATAATTGCAGTTGAAAAGTCAGCTTTGATTGGTATATTTTAATTTTTATTGCTTGCAAAAGCCTTTATACCTGCATTTTTTATCCTTAGTATGCCATCCTGGATATCATGGAGATAATTGTTCTGAGTCGTGTGAATATCCAAGATATGGTATGATGTGTATGAGCACGTGTATCTGTGACAACAATAGCTGTGATATAACGACAGGATGCCACATTGTTGGTTTGTATTTATTATATCAATTGAAACACTTTGCATATCATTAACAGGTTGAATGTGTGTTTTTGTTATCTATAGCTAATTGTGGGTAAGTCTATCATAGACTTCAGAGTTATGTTAATGCACTTATCAATATTTACATTGTTAAATATTAATGGATGATATAAAATATTAGAAAACTAGGAAAATCCTAATTATTGTTGAATTTTGATACTGAAGAACAAACCTGTTGACCACTTGATACCTTTATGCCTTAGAAAAGCTTCGGTGTCCATGCAAATTTTCACGCGACCAAGCTGACTGATTACTAAAAAAGAAAATTATTCTTATATACAATCAAGTGTATGTAGCATTCAGTATTACTATGCTTATAACATCCACACATTCTGGATATCAGGCTTCAAATGAAAGTCATGAAACGAAAGAATAACACAAAGAGAATTATGAATGTTTGTTTTTACTCTTAAGTCAACTCATGAAAGAAAGAAGAAAAGATTATTGATCATTATTTTATTTATTACTTATCTTGGAAACATAAAAAAATGAACAAATAAACGGAAATTAATATATACTTTGAAAACCCATTTTCAGATACTTCCTTATACATTTACAAGTTTATTATCCCCACACTCTTCCTGTATTTGTTACTGATGTTTATCCTATTGATATAATCAACGCAAGTGTTCCGCACTTGTATATATTTTTCTATAAAAAGAGTTATAACTGCAAAATTTAATCTGATAGAATCCTCATAATGTCAGAAAGGAAGTAATTTTTTTAGGAAGAGAAAACTTTCAGCATGAAACAAATAAAAACACAAATAAGGATACTTATGGTTTTCATTGGTTAATATTTTAACAGGTCTATATAAATCAAATGATTACTGTACTCAAATAGCGCATGTATATGTACATTAAAGCAAGACTTACATGGTCAATGCAGGTTTAGACTGTGAATTAAAACAATACAAGTTGTTAAAAAAACAGAAATTTAATCCATTTTTCGCAGGTTTAAAATCATATAGTCACCTTAGAAGACTGTCTAAGGTTTTTTAAATGTCATTTAAATATACAAAGACATAGTATATATGTTAAACACATTATATGCGCCCGGATCAATAGATTAGGGGCACATATTAGGTATCTTTGGGCGAGAGCAAGAACTATGTTCCCGTTTATCCTCGGAACAAGAACAACATTTATGTCTCCCAAATGAACAATCCAGAAAAGGTCAATGGCTTTGAGCTTGACTGTAACCTTAATGCTAAAAATAGCATTTTCGAACATTTGCCATACTTTCTGAACCATGCGAAAGACCTCATACATGTACATGTATTTGGAATGCATTTTTCACTTAATTAGTTCTATCAAATGACACGAAAGTCAATGGCTATTGTGACCTAGATTGTGACCTAGATTGTGAACTTTAAATTAAAACTAGCTTTTTCAAACTTTGCTTTTAGATCAATTTATTTTTCCGTATATCTAAACAGACTTTTCAAATTATTACTAATAGAGCATTTCTTAGGATTTGTTAATTACTTCTACAATCAAATATTTCTGAAAACCGTTTTTAATAGTCCTCCTTGGACTGAACTTGAGAATATCGAAAAAAAATTACTTGCCTATACTGCCGCCTTTGATGAGTCAAGAAATATTTGTTTCGACTCACTTTGTACAATTTCCCTCATTGAGCCTCCAGGCTTTACTCAGGTATAAATGGAATATCGTGTTGCACCAAGACCAGTGTACCTTATTTTAAAGTCTAAAAATAAAAAGTATTCACACCTGAGTGCTTCTCACACCATGCTATATAAACTGTCTGCTGACCATTGTTCATGTCTTTCGTGTAAAAGACCCCGTTTACTTGAGGTTAGCACATTGTGTTAACTGCATTACTTTTTATTGGTTTGTTACGAGTTAACTATGCCTAGAAATTTATCGGAATCAACTTCGGAGGATGAATAAATGCTGACATAGTGCAGCTTTTTGCCTCGAAGGAAGAGCTTGATGAAAATGAGGGCCCAACCACTAGAAATGCAAGTGTTGCTACAGTAGCTCGATGTCCATTAATGCTGCTTCAAGCAACGGACCTGGAAAAGGCCCAGGAAAAAAATAAGAAAGGCATAGAGCCAGCTAATAAGAAATCTACAAAACGAAAAAATGACGATGTCCCTATGACAGGTATCAAAAAACAAAAGAAAGAATTAAATTCTTCTCAAATTAACGCCATGCTCCAACAACTTTTAAAAAATTCAGAAAATCCAAAAATAACGAAGCGAGTACTTCCGGTTTTGAAAACCAAGATACGACAGAAGAATTTTTTTCCGGGGGAAAAAGAAACTTTCGATCAATCTTATCTTTTTTCGGTGTATAATTATCCAGAAGTATTTTTTGACGAAGATACTAACAAATGTCAATGCCAAAAGTGTTTGAAGATGAGACAAAATTTTGTGCTGTGTCTGATAATTTGGCAAAATTTATAAAAAAGGGTTGCACACAGAAAGCTGATGTGTCAATATATTTGGAAGAAATAAAGGTTACAGAAAATTGTAAAAACTTAGTACCCCCACTTATCAACTCTGAAATTTGGAATTGGCTGTTTGTCAATGTGCAGCAAAGAGACAAAACAATTCAAGAAGCACAGAAAATTCTTGGCCTTGCTTTTGTTCCAATGATTAATTTGGTGGAAATGTTTAAGAAAAAAAATTGACATGAAACAGGCAAAGAAACATGTTTCTGATTCCATCACTCTAGCTTGTAATACAATGTACAAAACAAACGTCAGGCGTCGTTATATTTTACGACCATATGTTCATAAAAAATTCCTACAATTGTGTTCGGCATCATCACCTATTCAGGAGAAATTTTTATTCCCATCAGACGTGACAAAGAGAATGAAGGCGATAACAGACGCCTCTAAAATTCACAAGCAACTTATTGCAGGTCAAAATATGGTGAATCAGGGGAACGGCACCAAGAAGGACATATCAAGGATACTGAATGTGAGTAATATTAAGCGTTAAGCATTTACTGCATGTGGTTTAGCAAAAAAATAGAAAATGGAAAGAAATTACTAAAGATCCTTGGATCTTGGACACTATTATGGGATATAGAATAGAATTTGAGAGTATACCATTTCAAAAGAAGGCACCAACCCCAATTAAGTTTAATAGAGAACAATTTGAAAAAATAAATTGACAATGAAGTCTTAAATCTGTTAACAAAAAGGCAATCAGTGTTTCGAATTATGCGTCAGGACAATTCATTTCGAACATTTTTATCGTTGAAAAGAAGAATGGTAAATATAGACCAGTGAGAAATTGGAACAAATCAAATGAGTTTGTTCAATATCATCATTTTAAAATGGAGACTTTGGATTCAGATTTTTTGTGGAATGGAATTTTATATCATTGTAATGCTCTGATTTTTGGACTGGCTTCTGCATCCAGAGTCTTTACCAAAGTAATGAAACCGGTCTTTGCTTATCTGAGAAAACAAGTGATTTCTTCTTTTTACTATATAGATGATTCTCTGATTGAAGCTGATAGTTTTAAAGCATGCAAATCGAATGCAAATTTTCTGGTGAAACAAAAAAAAAGGATTTAGGGTAAATAGCTAGAAAAGTCTATGTTGGTGCCATCAACCAGAATTTCTTACTTAGGGCACATTATTGATTCAGTTGAATTCAAAGTATATTTACCTAATGAAAAACTGGAAAAATGCATTTTAGAATATGAAGCTGTATTAAAGAACAAGCATTCTGAGAGTATTGCATAAGCAATACATGTCCCCTACCGGATTCCCCTTTTTCTTCAGGATGTCATTTTATAATATGCAAAAGTCATGTCCAAGGTAAAACTGAAAGATTTTCAAGTTGTAAATGCCTTAAAACTAATAAAATAATCCACATTAAGACGAAAATTCAACTAATTTCTCCATCGTCTTTTCCTCGCTTCATATTTTTGTTGACAATCGGAAGTTAGCGCAGTTCGAACCCGATCTTAATTAAGCGATTATGAAAAATATTCAAAATGCCATAATTCTGTCAAAAATCAATGAAGCGAAGTGAAATTCAAACTTGATCTGTAACTCATTAAGATACACTCACATACCAAAATTCAGCTCAATATCTGAAAGCGTTAAGAAAAAAAGTGCGGAAAACCAAGTGGGAAAGACTGACGGGGACAGACAGACGGACAGACAGACAGACAGACAGACGGGCGGACGGACGGACGGACGGACGGACGCAGAGGAAACCTATAGTCCCCCCGGTTTCACCGGTAGGGGACTAATAAGAAGAAGAGGCATTCAATAAGGGAAATTGCAAAGCTCATTCGTTTATTTATATCATCACTATATGCAATAAATATAGGTGCACTATATTTTAGATATTTAGACAGAGACAAAGTTTATGCTTTCACTATTGCTGAAAATGATTATTGGTGAAATTTTGTTAAATGAAGAGTGTATAATTAAAATTTTATGGTGGAAGAATAATATTAAAAAGAGAAATGGTAAATGGATCAGATACCCAAAAATTGACATATATCTGGAAACAGATGCATCAAATGCTGGCTGGGGTTTAAATGGAATTCATACAGGTGGTAGATGGACAGAAGCTGAATCTTTATTACACATAAATATCCTAGAAATATTTGCCATTAAATTTGCATTACTGTGTTTATGTGATCAAATTAAGAATGCTCATATATGCATAAGATCTGACAAGTTCAGCAGTCAGTTATGTATATAATGAACGTGGTTCAGTGATATCTTTATTAAGGATTGCAAAATAAGTTTTTCTTTGGTGTGATGAAAGAAATATCGTTATTTCAGCAGTTCATATAGCAGGGAAAAATAATGTTACTGCAGATTATTTATCAAGATCATTTAGTGACTCCATAGAATGGAAAATCTATGAAGATATTTTTGATCATATTTGTGAAACATTGATATTATTTCATCCTGATATAGATTTGTTTGCTTCTAGATTGAATAAACAGTTAGATAATTATTTTTCATGGTTTCCAGATCCAATGTCAATTACAT